TTGGAAGATAAACTTAAAAAATATCTGACATTTTAACTAATTTTTTTAACCTATCTTAATTAATTTTTTTATCTACAAAATTTAGCTATTTATATATTATATCTAGGATAGGGATGCAGTCCTTATGCCATGATATCGCTATCGGTTAATACATAACTTTATAGAATATACAGTTTTAAAGAAAGAATTGATATTAACAATTATTTATTTGTGACTTGATTAAAACTCATACGACTTTCGTCCTTAATATAAGAGTTAGTTAACTAATTAGAATTAAAAAATTGATTAAATTAGTTATTTATAATAAATAAATGTCGTCTTTCCTAAAGGATTAAAATTATTATTTACTATTATTACAAAAACTATCTTGAAAAGAAATAGATAAATATGAAAGACAAAGTAGATTAGTGAGTTATATTTAGGACTAAAATAAAAGTTAAACGAGTTCTTCTATTAAAGATTGGAGGTAATATATATTATCCCATGTTTCTTTTTTCTTTTTCCTTTTGTAAAAATATGATCATATGTTTATGCCCAAAATAGATGGCAACGAAGTGTTTATATCCAAACTTCTCGTTACACTTACAAGGCATTATTTTGATGGGCAACGGATTTCAAGTGGCTAAAATCATTTTATACACACACACCTATAGGAAAATGTTATACATCTAATTAATAGCTGCCAAATAGGTCATTTGGGAAGGATTTGTTTTTTCCTAAAATAAAATTATGGGTAATAATATTGCTTTCGAAAAATTTCCAATCAAACTGGACAATCTTTAAATTTTAATGATAAAGAAGAAATTGCATAATTTTTATCATCAAAATCTCACTATGTTTTATAAGTATCACCTCAAATTGCCCAAACACAGAATAAAATGAAATGAAAATAATTGTGCATTATTATAATTTGAAGGATGGTTGATACTTTATTCCACGTTAAGCTAAATAACATATCCTAACAGATAAGCTTATCATTAAACCAAAACCAATGATATGATTACACCTTTTGACAACCAAAAACAATGATTGAGTTACTCGATCCCAATATGTGGCTGCTAATTAAAAAATGCTGAACAAAACAATTATTAGCCACACATATCTAACCCTGAATAAGCCATCAATTCATTGAAATAAAAATTAAACATATAATTTTGAATTTTGAATTAAGAAAACTTAATTTCAAAGAAGTTTGAGTATGTTTTAAAGGCAAAAGAGAAAATTATATAATTGAAGTATTACTTGGTGAATGAACAAGACTTTATCCAAATAATTATGCAGCACAATTTTCTCAATAAAGAAAATTATTGATTTAAGTATTTAGCATTTGTGAAATCCACCAACTTGGGTGTTGATGCACAAAATTGCAACATACTTCATAAGAACATTACACCACTTATTTAGTTTACCCAATAATCTTGAGAAAACAGTTTAAGGGCAAAAACTGCCTTTTAACTTTTTAAACTCCACGATATAAATGTTATAAACAAATCAAACAATCCAATAAGATTTTATTGATTTCATATAATAGAAAAATAGAACTTTCAGTCCTACTACTTTCCCTCAATTTGGGAATTAGTCCTTCTAGTTTGATTCTTTAGAAATCACTCCCCATAAATCTAGGATTTAGTCCCTCTTTCCACTGATGATGAGGAAAGGACATGGTACAAGGTAAATAGTTAGGATAACGAAAAATGCACTCCATCAAAGAATCATCAGCATCCAGAACTCCTGATTATGCGTGATCTGAGGAAAATCCCTAATGCGTGATATGTATCAGAGATGAAAAATAAGACTCCGCATACGCAAAAACTATCTTCCACTCATTCTACAACTTGCATACATCTAAGCCACATAATCTATGAAACTCTAAAAGTAGCATTTCCAGCATCAAAAATGGAAATTTCAGCTTATAATGAACTTTTGCAGCATAGATTTCTTCTGAAATACTTAGCCGAGAGAAGGTAACACCAAAGTGTCACTGCCTTTTTTTTTTTTTTTTTGGGTGCAAAAGCATCACTGCTTTGTACTCTCACTGGATGATTCTTCTTCTGTTCCTCCGCTTTGAATTAGCTGGCGCACAAAATCAGAGTTATTATACGTACTAATAACAGTAAGAGGAATTTGCTCAAAAAGAAAGAAACAGTAAGAGAAAGAAGGGGATTAGGTTAAAGAAGACTTGAACATTTGGGGACATTACCAAGGATCCAAGTTGCTCGTACGCTTCCATTACTTTTGGATCTTGCTCATCTTCATAACCAACTTGTATTATCCTTGGTCCATTTACAGACCAAAACGCTCTTCGACCTGTCTCCTGCAAGATTACAATAGCATTCCGGAGGCAATCAGGGGCGTGCCTGTAGCGCCCAGAAAGGGAGAAAAATGTGCAATCTTTTGCTAGCTTATATGCCAAACCACGAATCCACATTATGACATGGAAACATATCAGACGCATTCCCAAAGAGAATGTTCATCAGTTTTTTTTTTTTTTTGGGCCAGCAAGTTTTTTAGCTAACATTTTATTCAAGAGAAAATTGACAAGCATTTATTCAAGAGAAAATTGATGAGCATGCTAAATCTTGTTTACACCAAGCAAATGCGAATACAAGAACAATGGAGAGGGAAGACACTGATCTTCCTACCAGCTATATGTTGAGCATGGGCCCAAGTTGAAGTATGTTAGACAAAGGAAAAAGCCCAATTCGGATGTGTAATGCTTTTTATGTGATAAGGGTAATTGTGGGTTTTTCCTAGAAGTTAGTTATGGGAAGGGATGAGTATAATTGGGGAAGTTGGGATAGAGAGGGGTTATGAAAAAGGAGAGAGAGAGAAGTAGGAGAGGCCGTGAGGCTCTAGGGAAATGCTGTGAGCATTTCGGTTTCGTTTTCCTTGCTGTAATTCTCCATTGGAGCCTATCCGTGGAGTTTGGCCATTGAATAATACATTTCAGCATTGAATCTTCATTAAAGGTATCAGAGCAGTTCCTTCTTGGGGAATGGTAAATACCAGAATGGAAACGAGGATTGATGAGGTCGATTCTAGAGTCCTCCGAACCGAGCATTCCATTGAGCGTTTGAGTGGAGAAGTGTCGTCTATCAAATCCGATATCACGACGGTAAAGTGTGATGTCGCTACCTTAACTTCCTTGTTGAACGAGTTGCTAGGTGAATGGCGTGCGGGCAAAAGTGGTGATGCCGCCGGAGGTTCGACTACCCAAACAACAGGTACGCCTCGGGTGATCGAGATCGAGGAACGTAGCGGGGGTGAGGGGACGGACAGTTCCAGCTTTAGGAGGCTCGATATGCCTCTGTTCTCAGGAGATGACCCCCTTGGGTGGATTTTTAAAGTGGAACGCTACTTCAAATTTAATCGGGTGGTGGAAACCGAGAAACTGGATGCTGCGGTATTGTGCCTGGAAGGACGCGCACTCAATTGGTTCCAGTGGAAAGAAGTGCGGGCCCCTGTTTCGACTTGGCTTGAGCTGAAACGCGACTTGGTACTTAGATTTCATCCGTTGCAATGTGGCAGCTCGTATGAAATGTTGATGGCTCTACGCCAAGACAAATCTGTTGCCGATTACATTGAGCGATTCGAATTAATCTCTGCAACCTTGGGGAATTGTCAAGAAGAGGTTCTTGTTGCTGCATTTCTGAATGGCTTGAAAATGGAGATCAAGGCGGACCTACGCTTGATGAAATTGGGTTCCCTGACTGCGTATATGGACATGGCTCTACGGTTGGAAGAACGGAACGGTGTGATGGCCCAATATTATAGCCCACGCTCATCTGGGCCGCCTAGACACTGGGCCGAAGACAGGTTCCAAGGACCTAGAGTTTCGTCCACTCGCCTGAGTCCTCAATCATCTCCTAGCCAGTCCACGGCAGCGTCTACACTAAGTACAGCCCGAGCGGCAGAAAGCAAATCAACCGATGATAGCAAGAAGACCACGATTCCAGTTACATACACTTCCAAATCGGTCCCAAAAAAATACACCGACGCGGAAATTGAACGACGGCGAGAACTTGGGTTATGCTTCAAATGTGACGAGAAGTATCGCCCTGGCCATCGTTGGCAAGAAAAAGCAATTACAGGTGCTGATTATGTCGGAGGAACCCGCTGAAGAAGACGAGCTACCATTGGAACCAGCTCACCTGGAGTTATCCGAATCAAACCTTCCTTCGGAGGCCGAGAAGCATTCCGGACAGCTTATGTCCCTGTCCCTTAACGCATTGGCTGGGTTCACGGGTGGCAAAACGATTAAGTTATTGGGGTCTCTTGGTGGGAAGGAGGTATTAATCCTGATTGATTGTGGCGCTACACATAGTTTCATCCACCAGGAGCTGGTGCTGGCTCTATCTTTACCGGTGGATTCCCATTTTGCTTTTACGGTTCAGATGGGGGATTCTCGAAATGTGAGAGGTCGTGGGGTGTGTCGTGATGTCTCCTTCTTTGTGCAAGGGCTCCACATTATACATTCCCTGTATCCCTTTCAGCTTGGGGGGTCAGACATCATCCTGGGAGCAGACTGGTTAGCATCTCTCGGTGAAGTGCTAGTTAGCTGGAAACACTCTACACTCAAGATTGATTTGGGTGATGAATGGATTTGCCTCAAGGGCAATCCGACTTTGCACAAGACTCCAATGTCTTTCAACTCTCTGTACAGAACCACCAGGTATGATGACGAGGTGTTCTTTGTGGAGTTTACTGAATTAAAAATGACAGAGATTACATACACCCCTGTGGACGATGAGGTTCAATCAGTATTAGCGGAGTTCCCTGAAGTTCAAACACCTATGGCCGGACTTCCACCTCCTAGAACAGTTGATCACACGGTTGAGTTGCAGCCAGGCGCCACTCCTCCTCCTAATTTCGTCCCTATAGGTACCCCCATTACCAAAAGGCCGAAATTGAGCGGTTGGTGCACGAGATGCTCCTAGCTGGAATTATCCGACCTAGTAAGAGCCCATTTTCTAGCCCAGTACTCCTGGTAAAGAAAAAAGATGGTAGTTGGCGATTTTGTGTTGATTATAGGGCCTTGAATAAGGTAACCATTCAGGACAAGTTCCCCATTCCAGCTATTGAGGAGCTGTTGGATGAATTAGGGGGTGCTCAGATTTTTTCTAAACTAGATTTAAAATCTGGTTACCACCAGATACGAATGAAAGCAGGGGAAGAACATAAAACAGCCTTTCGTACTCATGATGGTCACTATGAGTTCATGGTTATGCCTTTCGGTTTGAAAAATGCCCCATCTACCTTTCAATCACTCATGAATGATATTTTCAGACAGCACCTACGGAAATTCATCTTGGTATTTTTCGATGACATCCTAGTATACAGTGGTGACCGCAACAGCCATTTCCAGCACTTGCGTATGACTCTGCAACTATTACGGCAACACCTCTTAGTGATTAATGTCAAGAAGTGCGTCTTTGCCCAACCTAAATTGGAATATTTGGGTCACATTATTTCTAAGGATGGAGTTCATGCAGACCCTTCCAAAATAGCAAGTATGCAGTCCTGGCCGGCCCCCACCAACCTGAAGAGTCTTCGTGGGTTCTTAGGCTTGACAGGGTACTACCGTCGGTTTGTGCACCATTATGGGTTGATCGCTGCACCCCTGACTGACCTCCTCAAGAAAAATGCCTTTCACTGGACTGCAGAGGCCCAGCTTGCGTTTGATAAGCTGAAGCAAGCAATGTCTTCAACTCCAGTATTAGCTCTCTACCGGATTTTTCCCAGCCTTTCATTGTGGAAACCGACGCCTCGGGCACTAGATTAGGGGCGGTTTTAATGCAGTCTGGACGTCCAGTTGCTTATTATAGTCATTCTTTGTCAGCTCGACGTAGAACCTGTTCTGTTTATGAGAGAGAACTAATGGCCATTGTCTTTGCAGTGAGGAAATGGCGCTATTATCTTTTGGGTCGACCATTTATTATGCGGACAGATCAAAAAGCCCTTAAGTTCCTCTTGGAACAGCGAATTCTAGATGACTCACAGCAAGGGTGGGTGACCAAACTCATGGGGTACACTTTTCAGATTCAGTACAAACCAGGGAAGACTAATTCTGCTGCTGACGCCCTGTCTCGACAGCAGGAGCACGTGGGGCTCAATGCCATTACTATGGCTCAGTCAGACGATCTGAATACCTGGGACTCTGAAGTCCAAAAGGACGACACTCTAGCTGGCATAATACAGCAGCTGGCTACTGGTCAACCGACTATTTCAGGGTATGCTCTCAAAGGTGGTCACTTATTCTTTAAAGCAGCTTAGTCTTACCTAAGTCTTCTCCACGAATTCCCCTGTTGCTGCGTGAGTTTCATGATTCTCTGATTGGGGGGCATTCTGGGTACCTCCGAACTTACAAGAGATTGGCTGCACTCTTCTATTGGGATGGCATGCGTCGGATGTACAGAATATGTGGCTGCCTGCGATATTTGCCAGCGTAATAAACATCTAGCACTTAGTCCTGCTGGGCTGCTACAACCCCTTCCGATCCCGATCAGGTGTGGACAGATATTTCAATGGACTTCATTTCCGGGCTTCCCAAATCGCAGCGATACGACACAATTTTTGTGGTGGTTGACCGTTTTACCAAGTATGCACACTTTATACCACTTCATCATCCTTATACCACCCAAACACTGTTGCTGACTTGTTTATTCAGAAGTAGTTCGACTTCATGGTTTTCCACGTTCCATTGTCTCGGACAGAGATAAACTTTTTCTGAGTAACTTCTGGAAAGCACTATTTAAAGCTGCTGGTACATCATTGAATTACAGCTCCAGTTACCATCCTCAAAGTGATGGTCAAACCGAGGTGGTTAATAGGAGTTTGGAGACATATTTGCGTTGTTTTTGTAGTGATGCTCCTCAGACTTGGGCAAAATGGTTATGCTGGGCTGAGTACTGGTTTAATACTAACTTCACCGTTCCACTGGTTTGTCCCCATTTCGTGCGCTATACGGCCAGGACCCTCCAACCTTGTTTCGGTTCCAGGAGGCTGTATCTCCAGTGGATGCTGTTACTTTACAGCTTCAGGCCCGTAATGCTATTCTGGATGAATTAAAGCGGAATTTAGAACAGGCCCAACAATATATGAAGCGCTATGCTGATAAAAAGCGGCGCGACGTCCACTTCAATGTTGGTGATAACGTCTATCTGAAGCACACAGCCTTACAGGCAGCGTTCCCTTGCTGTTCGCCCTAATGAGAAGCTCACTCCTCGGTTCTATGGTCCCTTTCCTGTGCTGGAGCGTATTGGCACTGTAGCTTATAAGCTAAAATTACCCCCGGAAGCTAAAATTCATCCAGTGTTTCATATTTCGCAACTCAAGAAGTCACTGACCCCTGGCCTCATTTCCCATTCCTTTCCGTCCACATTAATGGCTGACCTGGAACTTCAGGTTTATCCTGAATCTGTGCTGAAGCATCGGAAACTCACTGATGGACGACTCGAACTTCTTATTAAGTGGGTTAACCTTGCCGACTGCGATAGCACTTGGGAGGATTATGATGTCATTCACCAACAGTTTCCCACTTTTCACCTTGAGGACAAGGTCAAGCTTGATGGGCGGGGTATTGTTGAGCATGGGCCCAAGTTGAAGTATGTTAGACAAGGAAAAAGCCCAATTCGGATGTGTAATGCTTTTTATGTGATAAGGTAATTGTGGGTTTTTCCTAGAAGTTAGTTATGGGAAGGGATGAGTATAATTGGGGAAGTTGGGATAGAGAGGGGTTTATGAAAAAGGAGAGAGAGAGAACTAGAGAAGTAGGAGAGGCCGTGAGGCTCTAGGGAAATGCTGTGAGCATTTCGGTTTCGTTTTCCTTGTTGTAATTCTCCATTGGAGCCTATCCGTGGAGTTTGGCCATTGAATAATACATTTCAGCATTGAATCTTCATTACTATATGAAGATCCTAGCTATAACAAATAATCAAAGCATCACAAAAACTAAGTGCAGAAACGGAAAATTTTATAAATCAATTAATCATGGGTTAGCATTAATTATTGAGGGTACAATTATATATTTAAGTCAATAGTTATTGTATTGAATATTAAGCCCAAAACGTATGGACCCTGGTTATTGTATGTATGTATTTCATGATAGGTTGGAATACATCAAGCCTATTAGATAGAAATCTCAACCTAGAACCCTTCCGTACTAGGCTGTCTCATATCACAAGGAGGAGATTTTATTACTATAAACTATTACTCGTTAATAATTTAACATGGGAGCTTTAAAAGGATTACTAGTATGATTTTCTTCGACATCTTAATTTTATCACACCCTCATGCCTCATAGTAGCTTTAGAAACTCCGTCTCTCTCCTTCTCTGTGATATGTGCTATGGGGTGATGTAGATTGCATCCCTATCTCTTGCTTTCTAATGGTTTCCCTAGGATTACCTACAGGCATGCAAATTATATAATATACAACTTTTACAATCTCCAATGCTCAAACCCTGTCCAAGAGGGAGAAGCCAGAGGTTTTCATGGTGAGGTATTCGAAATAAGTAGGTTCATTAACATACTGGCTCTAAGCATATGATAGAAATATTCCCTTCTTACAGCAAAAGGAACTACTAAAGATTTTTGCTTCCGACTTTTAAATCCACAGACAGTACTGAGATTCAAATCTCTGTTGACTGTTCAGTATCAACAGTGTTCAAGCCTACATTTGGTATGTGTGCGCGTGTGTGTATCAAATTTACCTGCAATACAATCAAGTATATGGCTTCCAATGCTTGAATACGAATTTCAGCATCAGTAACTGGTTCACGCTCTCATTGAGAGGGCAGTCCCAAGTTCAAGTGGCATCTTTGATGTGTCTTGCTCACTATATAACTGCAAAACAATTACTTTGTTAATGGAAGAGACTAAGACACAAACTAAGTAAACCAAACCATAGATAGCTCCGGAATAATGCCTGAAACGTGGGGAGGGGCATGGATATGAAGACTAACACAAAGACCACTTGAATCTGATTGCAAGTCGGCAAAACAGGCTGGCACCCTCTTAGCAAGGATATTTTTCACATGATTTAAGAAATTTTAACTTTATTATGGCAAGATTCTTTAGAAAGCATTCTCTTCCTTTTTTCTTTATTAAACATATTATCATTCTAGATAGCAATGACGGCCCTAGATATTCACAAGATTGAGCTCTTTCATGCCTTTCAAAAGAGAATTCATGTCTTATAATGAATTACAGGGCCATGGATAGATATCAGGTAAGCAAAATTATTTCCATTCTGGAAAAATTAATGAATTAGGCTCATTCATTTTAAGCAGTTAAGAATCTTTGGCTTAGCCAGAAGGAATCTTATTTGGCAATAATTAGAAATGCCAACAATTTAAGGTCAGAGAAGGTACAGCATATAACCTTATGCCAGCCACTGGAAGAAGTAATGCTGGCCAGAGAAACTCAGATATCAAAAGTAAATTTTGTAGCTGACTTTCAGCTTCAAAACAACAGTTGCGTAAAGTTCCAAAGACCTGCAAGCAATCAAACATAACAACAATCTCAGTTGAGCCAAAAGCCCTGCCCAAATGCAGTCAACCGTTGAGTTTTAGTAAGTTAGAGTAATCATGACAAACAATACTGCGGTTACGGAGAGAGCATAATTAACACGCAACAATCTATAAAGAGATAATTCATCATTCAACGTGAGCCAATCAAGAACATGAATCAGTTTGACTCCATTCACTCAGTTCAGAGATTACTAGTTTTGGAACCATAAGCTCTCTTATGTATGCCATGCTAAACAACAGCATTAGTATGTGATTTTATGGACTACTGAGCATCAAGCCATTGAAAAATCAAAATAACTTGGCAAACTCTAAATTGATTTGTCACTTCTTTCAAGAGTATGTAAGAAAATAGAGCAAGATGGAACAAAAAACTTTATAACAAACGCGAACTAATATCAAGCTATGCTAGCAGCGCATGAGATTGAAAATCACAAATGTACAGTAAGTTACTGCACATACCCCTTTCTTTCTCAATAAGCTGTTTGAATCAAATTGTCTAATCATCTGCTTTAAGAGACCTCTCTTTGAATCAAGCAGAAGCTTCCTTCCTGCTTGCTGCTTTGAGATATTAACAAGTATTGATCCAACATGTTCAAAAGATCATCTATCAAAATTAGCAGAAAAATCATTGAACCAGAGCAACAGTATGCGAACAACTGAAGAATCATAACAGTTACATCATGTACTAGGCATAATGGATGCATGGCATGAAACCCTCTCTGTTAATGGGTAGGCAAGTAGTTTTTTTTTTTTTTTTTCAATTTCTTATTTATGGACGTAGCATAGGAGGATTAGGCACGTCTTTGATGATTATGGCTTGTACTTCAGAGATTCTCTGCCTTTGCTTATTAGTGAATTGGCCAAATGAATTTCAAAAATCCGGACAAAAGAATTCTGTATAAATTCTGCAGAAGGTCAAATTCACATTGAGTTTGGAGGGACGCACCATGACTTTCATGGGTGGTTCTACAAAATGACCTGACAAGCTTCATCACATATAGTCCATGCACCTTATCATCACCAGTCTGACAACCAGCCAAGAATCAATAATTGGTATTTCCATATTAATAAAAAGGGGGGAAAAAAAGGATGCCACCTTCTGTATAATGACAGCAGTGGCCATTTCACCAATTCTAATAACATAGTAATGCCCCAACATTTCAGATGTCACCTCATGCACAGATGACATTCGCAGATTGAAAAAAAATAATTTTAAAGTCAGTTACAAAATACGTAGTGATCACAGATTGCAATGAGAAAACAAACCTGGAGCAAGGAAGCACTACCAGCATCTAACTGCGTTAGATTAACCAAAAGCATGACAAGCAAGCGAGTAATGATACACTCTGGCTTGTATAAAACATCCATCGCAGTTTTGATCATTCCCAATTGAACCATCTCTGCTGCTAGATTTGAGTTTTGAGATAAATTAACAAGTGCTTCAGCTGAAGGTTCAGAAACCTCCTGGAAGGGCATAGCAAATCTGTTAATACATAACTACGCCTCGAACAAATGCTACCCCAAATTGTGAATTTGCCCATGGAGAATAACATAAAAATTTCCCAAAATTTAGTTATCTGATCTATTCCTATATCTGAGACTAAATGAACAATCTTGAAACACCAAAATAATTCATGGTTTTGTATAAGCATTTAACTGAGTTCTTTGGGACTAAAGAAACAGTTTGAGTTCTTCATTCTTTTGCATTCAGATTTGGAAACG